AGCTCCGCTCCTGTGCGCTTCTGCAGGAACTGACCCCTGCGTATGGTTATTCATAATTTCAATTTATATACTGCCCCTTCCCCACAAAGTGGCGGAGCAGTTCGTAACAGTATAAAACAGACATCATAAATATAGGTAAAATAGTATACAAATACAAAGTATAAAAAGCAAGCAATTCGCAACTGATAGCGGTGGGTCCAGCGTTAAGCTCCCCCACCCAGAAAGGCCTGGTGGAAAAGCTCAGTCTCACAGGCCCTGTGGAACCTGGGGAGGTCCCTCGGGGGCCCGGTCTCCTCTGTGAGGGCATTCCTCCACGACGGGACTATGACTGAAGAAGCTCTCACCCTGGTGGACACCAGATATGCCACCCATGGGCCCGGCACCACCAGTAGGCCGCGAGATGATGACCCCAGCCGCTGAGGGGGTCATAACGGGAGAGGCAGTCCCTCGGGTATGGCGGTCCAAGACTGTTTAGGGCTTCAAAGGTTAGAAACAGCACCTTGAATTTGACCCAGAAACCAATAGGAACCCAATGCAGCTGCTTCAAGAAAGTCTGTATGTTGTTATTGCTATTTATTTGATGTATTAATCCCCCCCGTCCTAGCTTGTGCTGGGCTCTGGGCGATGTACAACAGAGGCACAAAGCCATAAAATGAATGCAAAGCACTGAGAATTCAAAGTAACAAAATTAGAATAATGAATTTTTAAAAACAGATGAAAAAAGTCCCAGATGGCGTCCTTAAAGATTCCATCCCAGTTCTGGGCTTCCTGGTCCCTTTCTGGGCAGGGAGGGGGAGGGGGGACACAAGATCAGAGTTAAGGGGAGGGGGAGAGGTAGAGGGTGGAAGCCACAGTGGCACACCACTGCCGGTCCCCAGCCAAGAGCCTGGCAGAGCATCTCTGCTTTACAGGCCATGCGGAACTGCATAAGATCCCTCAGGGCCCCGGTGGTATCAGGCAGAGAGTCCCACCAGGTCGGGGCCAGGACTGAAAAGGGTCAAGGACAGCCGGACATCTTTGGGGCCAGGGATCACCAGCAGGTTGTTATATGGTTAAGTGCACGGACTCTAATCTGGGAGAACCGGGTTTGATTCCCCACTCCTCCACTTGCAGCTGCTGGATGACCTTGGGCAAGCCGTAGTTCTGATAAGAGCTGTTCTTGAAAGAGCAGTAGTCGAGAGCAATGCTCCCTCTAAGCTGTGGAGCCTTGTGAGCAAAAATTCCACTTTGTGAGCTCCTGGCATTAAAGTTGTGAGCGAGCGATTTGGCTCCTGCATGAATTAGTTTGCTCTGGAGCCATCCTTCCTGAGCTAAGACAGAAATGTGTGAGCTGGAGGCTAAAAAACAGTCTTTCTCCACAGTGGGGACCAAAACAGCTTTCATTGTTCCCTCCTCCTTTTTAAATGCACAACAACCCTCATCTCATCCTTTGCCATCTCCGTCTTCTTTGACCTTCAATCTTTCCCAGCATCAGGGTCTTCTCCAGTGAGTGCTCCCTTCTCATTTGGTGGCCAAAGTATTTGAGCTTCAGTTTCATTATCTGGCCTTCCAGGGAACAGTCAGGGTTGATTTCTTTTAGGATTGACTGATTTGATCTTCTTGCAGTCCAAGGGACTCTCAAGAGTCTTCTCCAGCACCATAGTTCAAAAGAATCTATTCTTTGGCGCTCGGCCTTCCTTATAGTCCAACTCTTGCAGCCATACATGACTACTGGGACTACTGTGAGGTTGGTTAGGCTGAAATATGTGACTGGTCCAAAATGCGCAAGGGACGCTCTGTTACTTTTGGGGGGATTTAAGTATCCCCCCCGATATTTTTTCCAGGTTTTCAGATTTTTGTGCACACCTGGGGACTGCCCCAAGTGTGCATGAAAATCTCCCTCCCCCCCAGGTGCCCTCGATGCGCAGATTTAGGTATCCGCACGCAAGGGGGCGACTTCAGTATGAGTGTATAGATATGGAGTAGAGGTCCATTGGTGGCTATAAGCCACAAGGTATGAATGAATGAATGAATGAATGAATGAATTGAATTTATTACAGCGCATAGCCAGCAATAAGCCACAAGGTATAGATAGGGACTCTCGGTCTGGGGCAAGTGATGCTCTGTATTCTTGGTGCTTGGGGGGGCAACAGTGGGGAGGGGCATCTAGTGTCCTGGCCCCACTGGTGGACCTCCTGATGGCCCCTGCTATCAGTGGCCACTGTGTGACAGAGTGTTGGACTGGATGGGCCATTGGCCTGATCCAGCATTGGCTTCTCTTATGTTCTTTAGGAGGAGGTGGAGATTGGATTTATACCCCGCCCTTCACAACTCAAAGGTGTCTCAGAGTGGCTTACAAACTCCTTTCCCTTCCCCTCCCCACAACAGACACCCTGTGAGGTGGGTGAGGCTGAGAGAGCTGTTGTCAGAAACTGCTCTTTTTTCAAGAACAGCTCTTATCAGAACTAGGGCTTGCCCAAGGTCATCCAGCCAGGTGCAAGTGGAGGAGTGGGGAATCAAACCCGGTTCTCCACTACACCAAACTGTAGGGGAAACCGTTAGATTTGAGTCCAGGTGCACCTGAGAGACCAATAAGGTTTTGGGGCTATGAGCTTCTGAGGGTCCAGGCCTTCTTCGTTAGACATGAGGAAGCAAGGAGTAGGGCCCAAGGTAAGGCTGAGTTCAGCATTTCCCAATGAAATAATGGCACAGGATCATTCTGCAGTTCAGGGTGTTTGTTCTTATCTCACATCAGCAAACCTGTAACCTTTTGTGGTCTTAGAACAGTTTATATGGAAGTGCGGTGAAAAACCAGAGGGCCTTGGAGCGCAGTACCCTGGGAGTTTCTCTGGCACAAGGCCCGCTGAAAAGTATGGGAACAATGCTCTCAGTTTCGGTCGGGCTTGCATGGGGGAATTTCCTGGTGGAAAACACCATCACCGGGGCAGATCTGTCCTGGAGATGAGAACAAGCAAGTCTTTTGCAGTGAAATGGCAACAGGAAGCTGACTTGTGTAAACAGTGGTTTGTGCACCTGCTGTATTAACCAAGCAACAGAATTCAGTTGTTCTGTGTGAGATGGATTGATTGGAATTGCTGGTGGAAAACTTAAGTGCCGAGGGGCATACGGCCTCTCCTGCTCACAGCAGCAGGCAATTTAAGGACCCCTGCCAAGCTGCTCTTGAGGTAGGGAGGAAGTGGATGTGGCGCAGTGGTAGAGCATCTTCTTGGCGTGCAGAAGGTTCCAGGTGCAATCCCTGGCATCTCCAGCTAAAAGGACCAGGCAGTAGATGATGTGAAAGACCTCAGCCTGGGACCCTGGAGAGCCGCTGCCAGTCTGAGTAGACAATACTGAGCATGGTGGACCAAGGGACTAATTCTTTATAAGGCAAGTTCATGTGTTCTTGCGTCTGGCACCGTCTCTCCCACCAGTGGTTTGACAAAGGACCTATGTGTGCTTTAAAGGTAAAGGTAAAGGTTTCCCTTGCTCAAAAGCTAGTCGAATCTGACTCTAGGGGGCGGTGCTCATTTCCATTTCCAAGCTGAAGAGCCAGCGCTGTCCGAAGACTTATCCGTGGCCATGTGGCCGGCATGACTAAACATCAAGGCACATGGAACTCTGTTACCTTCCCACTGGAGTGGTACCTAATTATCTACTTGCAGTTTCTTGCTTTCAAACTGCTAGGCTGGCAGGAGCTGGGGACAGAGACGGGAGCTCACTCACTCACACAGCACTCGGGTCTCGAACTGCCAAGCTACAGACCTTCTGGTCTGCAGCTCAGCATCTTAACCTCTAAGCCACCATTCTAAAAACCTCTCAAGCTAGGCTGGCTGTGCACATTCCACTTCCTTACTATTTGACAGAGGGGTGCCAACCCCCTGCTTGGGGTGGGGCATCCCGTGCCCCCAGCTCAATTCACAGTGCCCCGGGCAACAGCTGGAGAAAAAACAAAACAAAACCCCAGCCAGTCCAAGAACATGACATCACTTCTTGTAGAAACCTGGAAGTGAGATCAGGTTCTCTCTAGGAATTAATGGAAACTCTGTGGTTTTCCATGGAAGTGACGCTCTGATGTTGCCCCCCCCCGCCCCCATGTCCCCTCTGCAGAACTGTTCCATAGAGGTTGCTGGCTGAACAGTTCTTTGTTTGTTACAAATCTTGTAAAGGTTTCATAATTACACTATAATTACACTATAATTACAGAGGAGGGTATGTGCAGAGCTGCATTTGAACTCGGATCTCTCACCCTTGAGTCACTCCTGCAACCGTGTCTTGCTGGTTGTCTTGATTCGCTTCATAAGCATCAGGCAGAGGTACTGGCCACTGAAAGCTCTTTCTGTGGTTATTTCCAGAGAAATTCTTTCCTGAATTAGTTGGAATTCACTGCAGATGACATGCTTGCTCCTGGCCTAGATCTTCTGATCTCCGTTGATTAGAGAGACGGCGTCTGGTTGCGAGGGGAGCATCCCTTTCAAGGCATTCCATTTTTTATAGCCAGAGTGCCTGCATCGCAGCTGAAATGAAAAGAGCTTGCTGGGGAAAGTATCCCCTGTGATTTCCTGGGGATTATCAGTCACTCCCAAGTTGGCTGTATGATTAATTGGGGAGACTCCGAAGAGGCTGTACATTTTTGCCCGTGCCCACAAATGGGTCCCATCTCCTCCCTTCTTCATTCTCCATTTCCTTTTTCTGCTCTTTGTTGTTGTTGTTGATTTCTTGCCACTTCTCAATGGCGAAAGGGGACTTCTTTTTCTGGGAACACATTTATGTAAATCGTACGGTTTGGTCCCCCTCCCCTATTGCCTTCAAGCCCATTTGTTTAGATGTCCTCCGTATTTAAATTGGCTATTTTACTGTGAACCCTTGGGACTGGAACAAATTTGAGTAATTGTCTCCGGCTGTGTCGTGAAGAGACAAATACCTGTGCCTCAGTATTCAAATATGCCTGTTTCATGCTGCACAGATCTAGACTGTCTTTGGTCTGTCAAGGACTGTCTTGCTGCGCGCTTTAAGCCGTCGGCCCTCCTCTTTGTCCGTCAGTTGCCTGGCTTCTATAATGCAAGAATATAGTCCAGACTTGCTTTAGGGCCAGGCTGCCCCTTAGCACGGGGGTCTCCAACTCAGTGCCCGTGGGCACCATGGCACCCACCAATACCTTTCCTGGTGCCCACCAAGTGTTTTTAGAAAGTGGGTGGGGCCAGCTGGGTGCTTTTGCCCAGCAAGACTTCTGATTGACTATTGGAGATTTTTAAAAACATTGCTTTGGCAAGTGCTGCCACCAAAGCACAAAGGTCGTCACTGTGGCAGCCATTTTGTGGCTGGCTCCACCTACAGCAGCAGTCGTTTGGGGGCATTTTGGCCATTTGGCCATAGCCATTTTGTGGCCGTGCCCACTATGCTGTGTCCAGGTTCCAGAGGTGCCCTGCAGGCTTAAAAAGGATGGATCCCTGCAGGGGTCATTTCCTGCTGGAGAACAGTGGAGCAGCGCTCCGGCAGTAAGGAGCCTGGGGCACCCCTCTGCTGCCATTCCTGGCCCATCTGCGCAGGTGGATAGGCCAGGGAAGGCCTGCAGAGCCCCCCCCCCCGCTGCCGCCTGGGGGGATTTAAATGCCCTTCTTTCCCTTCCCCACATGGCTGCCCCTTGTCTCCCCCCCCTTTGCCAGGGGGCGTGGCATATGCAAATGAGTCGTGCAAATGAGCTCCTGCACCTCTTTTTCTACGACATGACCCCTGGATCCCTGACTTAGCATTTACAGTTCAGCTCTCCAAGACTTTTGGCCTTCTTAACTCTGTTAAGGCTGCCTGGCAATACCTTTGATTTCTCAAACCCACCTGAGGTCACAGTTTTGCATGTGAAATAAATAGCCCAGACAAGACGATTGCAGAAAAGTACTCTCCCTGCTTTCCCCCCAGAACTGAGTTTACAGCTGGCTTTGGTAGTAAATCTAGAGGGGGGACCCCCCCCCACTACCACACAACTCAAAGTTCTGAAAAGAGGTTACTGACCACTTGGTAACTACCAGAAGCGTAACCTGCCTTTTGTACCCTTTTCCCTCTAGAGCAGGGGGTCCCCAACCTTTTTTTGGCACGGCATGGCGTGGGGGCAGCCACAACAAGACAGGGAGCCAGACCCTGCAGTGCAACTGCAGCTTCCCTTCAGTGAAGATCTTTTTGCTGCAGTGGCAGATGCTTCCAAGGTACCATTTGACAAAATCTGCACAGCCAATCAAAACTCCAGTGCCCGACCAGAATCCTTCCTGGGCAAAAGCCCCACTAGCCTTTCCCACTTTCTGAAAAGCCCTTGGCAGGAAACATCTCAGCGGACTCTATGGGATCCCATGGGCACCATGTTGGAGACCCATGGCCTGGAGCAGCTATTAGGTTAGGAAGTATGGTGAGTGCTTCATTGTCTTCCATGCTTATTACCATACTTCCATGTTTGATTTACCCCCACCCACAAAGAAATAATTTGTTCCCCTTGTTTAGGAGTAACACTACATCGTTTTGGCCTTTTCCAGGAAACTCTATCATAGTTTGTAAATGGTACTCTTTGGTCTTCGATGCAAGTTGCGTCTCAGGCCGAACACAAAGTGTGGTTGGGCTCCTGTAGCCGCAAAGTGCAAGGAACCTCAGCTCCTTAGTTGTCCTCTGTTCCTGTTTGTGCTGTTGGTCATGACAGTCAGTGGCAGGCCAGGGCTCCGTGCTCCGGGCTGAACCTTTGGGAACGCTTGGTGTCTGGCAAATGGCTTGTGGCCAGCGCCACAGAATGTCTGTGGGGGAGGGAAAGGGTGTGGCCAGCCACAAGACACTGTGTGGTTTTAAGCCAAGCGTTGTTCTCGGAGGGGGATGTAGTATCAAGTCCTGGATGCGATCACTCTCACAAACAGTCTTGTGTCAGCAAGATTTGTGTATTAAGAGGTAGAGAGGTTCCAAGCATAGACAGCATCTGTGTCGGAACTGTGGCCCAGTCGCCAGTTCTGCCAATATACTGAAAGCAAGAAATTCCACAAATGCCAAGCGACCAATCGTTGCTCCCATTCAGCCCGCCACACGTCTGCCCCCACGCTAGCAACTGCCTCTAACACCTGCAAGGTAACGGTTACATTATCTAGAAGCTCCCCAGACTACACGGTCACACAAAACGATGAGGTCATATACTTCCCAAGGTGTTCTCAACACACTTGGGAGGCCCCTGCGTGAGAACTGTTACGAGCTGACACTAACCAAGCAACGCAGACAGCCAAACACATCCACTCCCCCCCCCAAGTTCCCAGCGGAGTTCATAAACCGCAGTGGGAAAGAGCAAGGTTGCATGCAACACAATTACTGGATAAGAATACATGTGAATCCACAACCAATGGAATAACGAAACAGAACATGAGTGTAGGAAATATTTGGCAATCGAGGCCTGAGCTTGACACGTAGCTGTTTTGGGATGGGCTCTCTGGGCAAACCTACTGGGCTTTCCTGCAGCCCCTCGCATGCCAGTGAGGGAGAGGAAATCCAGGAGTTGGATTGTTGCTTCTGGAAGAGATGCTGATGGAAGGGGGGGGGGAAAATGCATTGGTGGCTGTGGGCCCAGGTGCCCCCATGCTGGGGATCAATGCTCCCTCTAAGCTGTGGAGTCCTGTGAGCAAAAATTCTCCTTCGTAAGCTCCTGGCATTAAAGT